CCTCTGGTGCGACGTGTGGTGACCATCCAGGGTCCAAAGACATCCAGTCCTACATTAGTGAATGGTGGCATTGGTGTCAGCCTGTCCACAGGTAAATCTGCCATCTTTGGGGTCTGAAGTCGCCCTCTAAGCTTCCGACAGAGAACACTCTTGTAAATAACAGAAGTGACAAGCCGTTTACCACCAATAATCCAAAATCCAGCACCTCTGAGTGCGCCTTCTGTTATTTGACACCCTTGAGGTGCTACCTTCTCATGATGGTATCTTATAAGAAGGACGGCTATATGATGAGCATTTGGGATAATGAGTGGATGTTTCTCATCTTTTGTTAGGTTAGCAGGTGCCAATCTCCTGCTCTGAGGAACCCGTCTTCATCAATAACTGGATTTAACCTTTGAAGACAGCTTTGTTTTGGAAGTGGCTGATTTTCTTTTAAGCACCTGCACTCCTCCTTGAACGTTTCGCTTTGTACTGTGCAAATGATAAACTTTGCTGCTTCGTCTGCAATGTTAGTTTCACTGAAACACTTCCAGCCTTTACCTTCTGTGCTTGTTTTCTTGAATGATGCTGCCACACGTTTTAGTGATGCAATAGTGCGACACAATCTCATCCAATGAGAGAATCTTTCAAAACAACATGGCTCTAGCTGTGTTACTGAGGCTTTGGTAACAAAGCTTTTTACATCAGGTCTGATCTCTGCATCTGTGTCAGGATCGATCAGTGTGAAACTATCACAGTGAGACGTCTTTATGTCGTGTCGTGTCAAAAATGAAGGACCACTAAACCAGTTCGTGGAAGCCAATGCAGAAGCTACAATTGGTCTAGTGGCCGTGTCTGCTGGATTGTCACTACTGGCTATGTAAAACCACTGTGCTGGATGTGTAGTCTTTCTGATTCCATTGAGTCCAAAGGTGGAGCGACTTCTGCATGGTCATTGTCCAGCATGTTTTGAATGAATTGAATATATTGTCTATTCATCTCAGGGTTCCGGTCCAGTGTCTTTCTGAGAGACTGCAGGCGCTTGAACGCTTGCTCTCTGTTACTTGGAAGCTCTGGTCTTGGAGAGTGTAGCGTTTGACCCCAATAAACATACGCTGGAGCGATTATTTTGACAGCAAAACTTTTATTTGGAGATGTGGATTCATTCACAGCCACTCCCGCTCTCTTTGTGCTGTCACGTCCGCTC